ATAATATAGATAATATATATATAAAGTCGTTATAATTAGATAACTTATTTTTTATTTGAAAAACCCTAATCAGGAAAGTGATAACTCATTGGCAATATTATGCTTTTATATTATAACGTAACTCATGGTGAACCGGGTCATATCGCGACTTTGATCGAACATCTCTTTTCGAGGCCAACAAAGACGAACCACCTAAGCTACATCCTGAAACTAGATCTCTCCATCACTACTTGGCGGTTCATAAACGCTACCCTCCCGGCTGCCAACCTCCTCATATAACTCGGTTTCTTGTTCTGCCCTTTGATTATTTACTTTTCGATTACACTTTTGTGGAGCTGCAAATTCACTGCTGCGAGTAATTAATATAGATAAGCGACCTGGCCTGCAATTATCTTCTTTTGCTTGAATCCTTTCTTGAATCTTTTCTTGAATCTTTTCTTGAATCATTTCCTGCATCTGAATGTCCTCTTGTTCTTGAAAATCATTTCGCTCCTGAATATCACTAATAGAATTGGCTTGTTCAACAAACCCACGCATTAGATCTTCCAGCTCGCTCAAGCTCCGCTCCTTGATCTGCTCCAGCATCTTCAATTTTGGCGGGAGCGCCGGCTCCCAAACCGATACAGAGCTTGGTCCCCGAAAACCCTTTTTCCCACTCCTTTTCCCAAGTACCCAGGCCTCTTTTTGTTCATATATCTTAATCCCTTGAGCAACACACGCAGCAAATATTTGAATAACGCTCCACAAAGGCTGTTCAGAATTACTGCCAAATATTTGTTGCTGAGCGGTCTGCAAAATTCCAGAGAGTATAGGCGATGTAGAGGCAGAAAACTCGATCTTCTTAGGGTTATACACAACCGGAAACCACATCATACGCCCCTTAAGGCCTTTTTTTCGATTAGTTTTCGTTGATGTAATCAAAGCTTTCTCTGATGGATAAGGAAGAACCCAATGCGTCAACCGAATTAAATGGAATAGTTCATTGAGCCACTGATCGGCTTTTCGATGTCCCAACCGATCTTTAATCAATATAAAGGTCTTTTGTAAAATGACTCTATATGGCCTTCGATTCCAGCCTAAACGCTTCTCGTCATCCTGCCATAAAAAGAGGAAATTAAGAAGATCGCTAACTTCATCAAATCGCGTTTTATTCCCTGTTGCAAAATGAGGTGGCTGTACAAGCCCATTAACAATGAACATCTCCTTCATATCCTTGTAGCAAAATCGAGGAACTCCATTCTGTACCGCGTCAGGTGCCAACTCAGGAGAGCGCTTGTGGGCTTTGAGCATTGCCTTCCAGATATCCAAATCGAATTGCTCGATATTCAAAACGTGGAGATACTCTAACCACCTATTTAATAGAAAAGAGTTAGATTGTATACTAAAACGAGCGTACCAAGCCTCAACCTGGCTGAAGCGAACATAAACATCTCGAAGGTCTTTAACTGCACACCACCGTCTTTTATATTCCGCATGCATCAATAAGCTTCCGACAAGAATGTTTTCTTCATGCGGCGCTTCAAGCCTCCAGGTTTTCCAATTGAACTTTGGTAAAAATCAACCCAAACCGCAGCGATCCAAAGTATCTTGCATACCTAAACCCTCTTTAATAATCCGCTTAGAGCCTCTGCTTGGCTCCCAGCGATCTTTGTATAATAAGGACTCCCGCTGGATTAGGTTGCTGCCATAGCAAAATCGAAGGGCTCTCAACGCTATCACCATAACAATAGTCTCTGGTAGCGAATAAGCTGCCCCAGTGTTTGCAAGAATATGCTCGAAGAGAAGGCAATATTTATTGATTTGGGCCGAGAGAAAGTCAAACAACTGCCGTGTGGGGATAATGTAGTAAGGGAGTGAAGACTGAGTGGAATCCACCTCATCATTATATAAATCCCAATCCTGCCATTGATGATAAATATCTTCCATAATCGTCAAAGAGATCCGATGCTCTTCTCGAATCCCATAAGACTTTCCACCGTTGTCAACCAAATTCGTAGATGCCCGCGTCTTGCTGTGAAGATAGCTAGATTCACACCTAGCTTTGGAAAATGTGATTCCACCGCCTTCTTGTTGAAGAGATTGAATATACCCCGGGTCGAGAGCCAAGTTCTCTACCGAATCATTCTCAAAAACGTACACCTTGGATGAATCAAAAGGCGTCTTAATCAATCCATAAAATTGAGAATAGATTAAACCATCCCTATTCTCACCCCCATTAGGGACAGCGAACATAGTCTGGCCCGCTGTATCCCGCATTGCCGCCCAAGGATACACAGTGCATTTAGGGTTCCCTTTCGCTGGGCTCCCATTTGCATTAAGAACAACCCGGGTCTTAGCATACGCCTCAAGACAGCATTTTTTCCACAAATAGACTTCGGCCTCGTGATCTTCCGGCTTGTGATCATACGGTAGAGCGCTATCTTCAGATGTCACCTGCTTGGCAAGATCAACGTAGGTGCGATCTCGATTATAAAATTGTGCATCTGTTGCAGCAAACCACTTGCTTTGCCAATTATTATACACTCGAACTAAGTCAGTATCCATAAATTCCAGCTTAGTATTCTTTAAATTAGCAAACAAGTTTGCGCCACGAAATCGATCAAAACCTGGATTCTCGTCGATCATTTTAAGAATTAGATTCCAGAGTGCATCAAGGTATTGGGGCTGGATGGTATGTTTGATGAGCTGAACTCTAGCAGACTCTTTTCGACTAAGGCGCTCTGTTGATACTGCAATCGAGTCCAAGTCTGCAATTTTAGCCGATGCAGGATAGTGTTGTACAATATTAGAGGATTTGATTATCTTATTTAATGCTGGGCCAACAATAGCATCATAAAATAGCTCATCATCTTGCTTACTCAAATAAGTAGAGTGTTTATAGTAATCACTCTCCAAATGAAGATTAGGGAAAAAGATAAAAACGTATAGCGTTTCAATTCCAATCACAGAACCAAAACAATAATGTGGAATTTTGTGAAGGGGGGTGTATTCTCGAGTTAATATTCCGTGATCGTTATATTTTGGCATCCGCAATCCAAAATGAATATCGCTTTTAATGTTGAAAATAGCATGCGCTTTAGGCAGCCAATTGATACCACATTTTGCAAATGCCAAACTGCTGGGGAAGCAGCAGGTGCTATCAATATCAAATGTGATTTTAGGCAATCGATTTTTCTTACTACTTGTGTAATGCTGAGATAAACATAGATTCTTAGGCAAATTCTCATTCCGTGTGTTGTTATCTTCAGGAGCTGCTGATGCGCTAGTCCCTTCAAACGCTGCTTGAAAATCAATATTGTTGCAGTCTCTTGCTTTCATGAGCTTAGAACTGTTCAAAACATTGGGCAAAGGTGAACCTCCAATGTAATCTCCCTTAAGAAGAGCAGTAATTTGAGGCAGGGATGAACATTCAGAATGTACATCTGAACGCTGGTGATGCCTCCGATGGGAATGATCGGCTTTATGATGCTGGTTATGAGTGCAACCTTGAAACTTCCGAAGCTGCTTAGCAAGCCTGAGAGCGATAGACTCTTTGGAGTTTGAAATTGATATTTCCTTTGAAAGGGATCTTGAAGCTTGAGGTATTATTATTGCAAGATTGGCTTGGAGATTGGGTTTAGGGGGTATCGGAAGGGGTGATTCTCGAATCGTTGATTGAGAGACTGGCTGACAGGGTGATGATCGCAAAGATGATAACTGGGTAGTCTGAGGCGATGAAAAGATTTCAATTCGAGAAGAAGGTTGGGTTTATCGATATAAATATCATTTTCGCCCTTACTGCTGCTTAATGAAATATTGGATAAAAGCTGGTTGTTTAAAGCCGAACTTTGTGATAATGGTGAATTTATTACCAGTCTTTGAACATTTGATGAATCATCATCTTCATCACTGTGACCCCCCCACATTATTGATAGTGAATTATTCGATACATTAGAAACTATTGATGGAGAGCGCAAAGAGCTAGGTTGCGGAAGGTTTTTGTAAGCTGTTGACTCTTCCATCATTCGTAATTCAGGAGCTGCAGCTTCAACCCCATTGTTTCGATATTCTTCTGGTGATTCGCTGGATCTTGGCTCTTCAATAGGATTGGTTGTTGTAGCTATTTGTGATGCTATAAAACTTTCTACTCTTTTTGTAGCCTGTTCGCTTCTTTCAAGGTTATCTAATTGTTTGTTGATCTGAACCAGCTCAATCTGTGTAGCGGTATTGTTGTCTTTATTAATCGAAGATGACTGTATAGAGTGTAAAGGAAGTAGATCTTCTGGAATGTCGTCTTCTTCAATATCTTGAGCGTCATAAGGGATTTGAATAGATGTTCGAAGACTGGTTGTAAGAGGAGTGCTGACAGGGACTTCTGGATGAGAAGGTTCAAAAGCAATGAAGTCGACAGGGCCTGAAGATTGGGTTGCTTTAGCTTTGCGGCGGGAAGCAGTAGCTTCAATATTAGCTTTTCTAGCTTCTTCAGGATCCTGATACTTTCTCGGCCGCCCGCGCTTTTTTGGGGGTAACATTTTAGCTTTATAGAGGGGATGAGGCGTACCGCAGAGAAAAAAGCTCAATCTTCATATATTATTATAAAGATCTGGCCCCAAACCGAGGTTAGTCATCCATTTACCCCCATTTAACAGATCAATCCCTGCTTCTTTATTGGTCCCTCCTGATATATTCCTAGTCTCCTCCTTAATCCTCTTGGGGCTCTCTTAGGGCCCTCTCGAGCTCCTCTGTTAATTCCCTCAAGACGCCTCCTCTTTAGGATCTATCAAAGTCTCTTACAGATTTATTCTTCATATAATACTTTATTAACATGGTTTATCAGTGCATAGCCCATATCAGTGGATGGCCCACTTTTACCTCAATTCAACTCCCTCATTTCAACACATATTTTATTAATAACCCACAATAAATTCGAATAATAAAGAAGCTTATATATTATTTGCTATTATAGTTATTCAGAAAAATAAGAAGCTAAATATTCGAAAGATTGTAATACTATATAATATTCTATAATCAATATTACAATATAAAATTGATAGTATATCTCCTTATATAGAAATTCAATCTAAATTTCAAAATCTTTTAGAATTAAAAAAGGAAATTATTATTCAGTATATAATTAATATAAATTTGAGAGATTTTATATTTAAATAAAAAGGGGTGGAAAATATAGCAAATCATATTCTTAAATCTTAAGATACAAAAAGAATTGAAAAGCTTTGGGCTTATTGATTTATTAAATATTATATAAAATTAAAGATATATTTTAAATATATTTATAATTTTCAAAAAGCTTTCTATAAAGATTTTATACTTATTAAAAACTAGTTCTGATTTATATCGAATATACAAATGAAATATAGTATTTTTGATTATGATTTATAGAATTTTGATGAAATTAGCTTTATAATAAGTATTATAAGTATTAGTATAGTTGTTATTGATATTAAGAGATATAATAGAAATAAAATTATATAGCTAAATAATCAAGAATAGGCGATAGTGATTATATATAGTAATAATAAAAAGAATATTATATTTTTATTTCTAATAGTTCAAGGATAGGTGTATCTTTTCAATTAATATATAGAAACTAATCTTTCTATAAATTAAGTTATTAAATCTATAAGCAATAAGTAAATAAATAATAAGATAGAATTAGAATAATTAAAATACTTTAATAAATATATAAGAAATCGAATTAAGAACAAATATAGAATACTAATACTGAATAGATATAAAAACTATAAATCAATATCATTCCAAAATTATTGTAAAAAGAATAATATTAAATATGTATATTTATTATTATATTCAAATTATTTAATTTAATCTTTTGATATTGAATGTTTTAGTATTTTAAAATAAAAGTATAATATACAAATTGAAAGGTTTATAAAGGTATATATTAATTATATCTCAAAAATCGAATTCTTTATAGTTTTCAAAATTGTATATCAATAATCAATTATAAATCAGAATATGAAATCAGAGTTTCGAGGAATAGAATTAGTTCTATTCAATTTTAAAGTAATACTTTCTAAGTTAAATATTCGAATTTATATATCTATTTTTCCTTTTCCCAATTTAGAATCTTGAATTTCTCAAATACCTTACAATTCTACAAAAGCATTCTTTTAATTAATATTAGTTAAATCTCAAATAACTTATTATCAATTGAGCTTTTCTATACCTTTATTTGAAATTATATTAACTTTAACTAAAAGTATAAAAAGATTAGTATATAAGAATATACTTTTGAATATAAAGATTTATATATTTTAAAAAACAAATAAAATATTAAATAAATATTAATATATAAAAAAACCTAATTATATTAAAAAGAAATATTTACTAAATAAAAAGCTATAAATATATTATCTCAATAAAAGATTAATATTCAAATTCGATATAATAGATATTGAAATAAAGGAAATTTTAATATAGAAATATTCTTTAATTAATATTATAATAAATATAGAAAAATAGATTATAATATAAGAATCTATAAAAATAATATAATAAATCCTAGATTATTAGATTTATAATAGCTTTAATTAATTGATTTAATAATTGTTAAGAAATATGAATTTGAAAGTATAAATTGAGATGAAAGTAGGCTATCCACTGATATGAGCCATGCACTGATAAACTATGTTATATAATTTGAAAAATCTTAATTCAAAAAGCGGTGAATAAATCGGCAATATAATTTATGGGGTAAAAACAATCAAGGGTTGTTTCTATCTTTAATATAATCTTATTTAATAAAACTACTATAGATCGATCAATTTACTAGATAATCTAATTCTGATTAGATATTTGTAATTCTAACTCAAAATAACCTTAGAGGATATATAGAATATTTAGAAAAAATCCTTAATTTTAAGAGTATTGAAAAACTAATAATGTATGTTTGAAAAATCCTGATTGGGAAAGGTGGGAAATCGATTAGTAAGAATATATGTTTGAAAAATCCTAATTCAGAAAGCGGTAAGCGGTTGGCAGTATCCTGTTTTTCGCTAAATTAGGAAATATAATCTTAAAGTCTATCTTTAATCAATTATAACTTCTTTAAAAATTAATTGATTAGAATGTAAATAATATCATTGAACTCCTTGAATTAAAAGAAATCAAATACACTCTAAAAATTCTATTTTTTTTAACCCTATTCGTATATTCAATAGTCAAAAAATTAAAGAAAATTAATTCAAGAAATTATAAATATTTAAATTTCAAAAAGTTGAAATAAAAGAAAAGCTTTAATATAAATAAATCTTATTGTTTATTGTTAGTTGCTATAATAATAACCCTAAGAAATCCTTATAAAAAAGTCTAAGCTTTAAATAAAATCTATATTAAATTTTAAAATAAGATTATATCTAAAAAGAAGTATTTATCAATCAATTTGAAAGATAATTTAATTCAGATTTTGAATAAATATAATTCAATTAATTTTTTATATACTTGCTTTTTCGGATTTTTGAAAAAATCTAAATTATATTCTATAAGATTAATAACCAATTGGTGACTTTTTGTTAATCATTATTTTCATTTTTATAAAATTATTTAAGTGTTTTCTGATATTATTCAAATTCAATCTTTAGAATTAATATTACAAATCAATCAATTTAAAAGATAATTCAATTCAGTTTTCAAATAAATATAATTTTGTCAGAAATAGACAGCAAGTTACGCATAATAAGTGATATGTTGAATATATATATTAGATCTGTATATCCGGGAACCCCGGAAAAGGAGTTTTATAGTGGTGTGCACGTGCCACACACGTACTACACGTGTGATTTTCAACAAATTTAATTGATTTCTAATTCATTCTCTTTTTCAGATTTTCGAAAAAATTCAAATTATGTTTTATAAGGTTGATAACCAATTAATAACTTTTTACAAAATTATTCAAGCATTTTTTAATATTTCTTAATATTATTCAAATTCGATCTTTAAAGTTAATATTACAAATCAATCAATTTAGAAGATAATTCAATTCAGTTTTCAAATAAATATAATTCAATTGAATCCCTATCTAATTCTTTTTTCAGATTTTCGAAAAGATTCAAATTATATTCTATAAAGTTAATGATTAATTAATAACTTTTTACTAATTACTATTTTCATTTTTACAAACTTATTATTACAGGAGCTGCCTCTAGGGTCACATGGAAGTGTTTAGGGATCTCTCAAGATAATTTAGACTAAACTTCAAATAGGAATTCAATAAGATTATAACTAATTGCAATTCTTATAACTATAATAATGAAATTAATAATTGTTTTTTTAAATATAAAGCTCTATATTATAATAAAACCTATTCCTTTATATAGATCTTTATTCTATTTGAACAATTGAGATAGCTGGTTGTTCCTAGAGCACTGTCATTCCTGAACTATCTATTATAGGATACTAATCCTGTGACTCTTAATATCCTAGCTTATTCTTTTGTTCTGAGGCTAATTTCTTGGAATATTATTAATCTTAATAAAGCTTTTTTATTTATTATATTCTATCTTTCTTAGAACCTATCATTCTGGGAACTATATTCTATGTTTCTAGGATATCCTATAACTAATATTATATATATGCCTAAGACTTTCCTTAAATATCTAATTTCCCCTAGTATATTATAGCTGAATCACTGAGGCCTATAATATTATTATAGTCTATATATTAGTGATTCTACAGCCTGTTACTAATCCGTTGTAACAATTATCTAAGTATTTTCTGATATTATTCAAATTCGATCTTTAGGGTTAATATTATAAATCAATTAATTTAAAAGATAATTTAATTCAATTTTCAAATAAATATAATTCAATTGAATTTCTATCTAATCCTTTTTTCAGATTTTTGAAAAGATTTAAATTAAATTCTATAGAGTTAGTAATCAATTAAGAACTTTTTAACTAGTTATTAGCTTTCTATCAAAAATGATTACTAGAGTTGATAATCAACAAAAAATTCCTTAGAATAATAGTTAGTATAATTAATATAATATAGAATAATTAATATAATATAGATTAGTCAGAATGATTTTAAAAGTATTGAAATTAATACTTTTCTTATTATATTTTTTTGTAGGATATCATATTGATCCTATAAGTGATATAAAGAAAGAGATAGTTATATTTGAATTTATATAATAACGTAACTTGACTAGAAGTGGGTTATATTATAATATGGGTTAGGTATCTTTATACCAAATTTTGTATACAAAGGTACTTAGAGTGACTTTTTTTATTTTTATGAATATTAAAGATAATTTAATTTTTTTTGATAATTAAATTTAATATTTAATAAAAATATAGTATTAAAGTTATAAAACATTTTTTAATAATATTGTTCTTAAATTAATATAATTTTAAAATTTTCTATAGTAATTTTTGTTAAATAAAAACGAAAATTTGAAAGAAACTTTAATATCTTTATTAAAGGTTTTGGTATTTTTATAATATCTTATTATATTGAATTTTTATATTAAATATATTATATTTCAAAATATCAAAACTTTATTTCTAGTATTTATAAAGTTAGAAAATTTTGTTTTAAATATCTTTATATACAAAATTTAATATAAAGATATCTAACCTATATTATAATATAACCCACTTTTACTCTATGGTGACAAAGTTAATATTCCAGACAAAGATAAATTCAATATAAATCTTTATACAAATTTCTATTTCATATATTACAATATTAATATATATATTCATTAATAATAAATAAAGCTCTTTATTATTAATAAATCAAATTGATTCTTTTTGTAACCTATTTATTATTGAATTTTGATAAAAAAAAAGAAAATAAGGGTTATAAGAGATTTTAGGAATTTCAAGATCTTTAAATATTAGAGTTATAAATAAAATAAATAAAAGAAAGTAAGTGTATGAATTAGAGGGAGATTAAAAAAATAAATTAAAGCTAAAAAGAAAAAGAGGGGAATAAATGTAGAAGCTAGAAGATAAATAAAAAGTATTAATTAAAAGTTTAAAGGGAAGTATTCTTATTATTTATTATTCACTTTCAATTTATTTTTTAATTAAAAGCTTTATTAATATATTATATAATATAGAATGTATTAAATAAATAAAAGAATAATCTAATTTAAATATATATAGATATTTTGATCTAAAAATGATTACCTTAGACTAAAACTTAAAAGCTTTCCAAATTCAAGAATTTTATTAAAACCTTATTAATTAGAATAAATCTTATAAAGTATAGAGATTTAGATTAATTATATTAATACTTTAAAAATGATTTATTCAATATATAATAAAAATATTATAGAATTTATGATAATTACGAAAGGATCACTTCGTCAACCACGGATTCTATTACTACAGGGCTAGTTAAGTTATATTATAATAATATTAAGTTGATAAGCAAAATAAACGAGTGTAATTGCTATATAATATAACTACTAATGAGTGTGACTTGTAATACGATCAAAAGCAACCACTAAGGACTCAAAGAATCCTTCATATCTCCCTAAAATACCTCTAGAAATGAATGACAAATTTCGATACAAAGACATGATATCCTAGTACAACTCCAGACAACTCAAGGAGACCACCAGTGCAACATGACGCGTCTTCCATTTCCAAAGCGCATCAGAAGCTTAACAACCAACTACTTTCATCGACCATCTACCCTGCAAAGAGATGCATTGATTGAGACGGTCTGTACCATAGTGGCTAGTCACTCCGGCACAACCTTTAGCTGCATAGGTAGTCACTATCAAATGCAAGTCAGTCAGCAATTACATGATGCTAGTAATCACATAAAGTGGTCAATCACTTACAAGTGCATCCTCGTGGCATGTCTTTCAACACCAATCCATGATCGGTATCATAGAAAGTATAGCAATCACCAGAGTTGTAGTTTCTGGTTGGTCCTCCAGAGTCACCGCAGGTTGTTGTTGAGTGCTTCACAATATCGATGATCTGAGTGGCAGAAGATGTGCTGAAAAAGCACAGAGAACGATGGCGACAGTGTTGATGTTTGTGAGAAGCATTTTGAAAGTCTGTTCGGGTTTGCGAAATGAGGTTTTGTTTGGTTTTTTAAGTTGTGTGGAAAGTGATTGAAACAATTTGTGAATGACTTGAAGGAGAAAGAAACATTGGAATTGATCGAGCATTTATACTTGAAACTTTGACGTAGCTTCGATGAGCTTACATGTATAGCGCGACATATTTCCTTATTTGAATTGATCAAAGGAAGGGTGCATAAAGTTCGGTCGACAAACGATGGATGTGCGAGCAGCTCAATCACATCGAAAACTTCCGATGATGAGCCAAGTCAACCAAGTCCAAGAAAGATCTGCATCAATCCACGGAGTCTTCGGGTGCTACAACCTTGTGAATTGGCCTTTTCAAGTTTGATGAAGCGCTTCACCAAGCTCAGTTCTGACACTCAGAGAATCCCTAGACTTCGCCCAGCTTTGCAAATCAGGCATCCAGCCAAAGGCATTGGAGATCGCTAAGTAAAACCACTATTTAGAAGATATGCTGAAGATGATGAGAGCAATGTGTCACTGCAGACAAGAAAAATATTATGACACGGAAGCATTGATTTTTAAAGCGGCTGACCATAACGTACTGTTTAGAACATGATCAATTGGATTGATTGAAAGGATGTCTTGGAATGCCTTTTGCGTACATAGCAGCACACTCAACTATAAAACTTCAAGGAAAATTGACGAAGACAGAGGATCTTGATACTTGTGATAGTCGTCTCCAGTTTAATCTTGCCCGCTCAATGTAGCCATAGTCGCTTCTCCAAAATGTCTTGATTAGTCGACATCAATTGCTAATCGTGAGTTTTACATGTATGCCCCTTATTGTAGTATTATGAAACATAAGGAGACTCTGCGGAATCGATCGACAGGGCTGAAAATGTTGGTAATATTTTACATATCTACTAAAGTGCCCTGCATTAGTGCTGACAGATCAGTTACACTTTGCTTCAACTCATGGTGTATCATGCTTATTGTTTCACGACACTATTTCTAAGATTGGAGAGATTGTTTCCTGAAAGCTGACAGGATGTTTACCTTCATAGCCACTACTAAGCAATCTTAATTCTATATAAGATTTCACGTGGATTTCGTTGGATTTCAAATAAAGCTCAAGAGCGAGGCTTTTGATAACGAGGAAATTACTGAACACAATGCGGGATATTCCCAAGTAAAATAGACTTCCATCTTTGTGGAATTTCTAAATGAAGACCTTTCCTTGTATTCATTACTGGGTGAAAATTAACAAGATCTTTGAACATTAGGTAACATTACATGGCCAAAACATCCGACAGCATAATAAAGAAGAAGAAGTTCCGATACTGTCAGTACCCTGATACTAATCAGGGCCAGTTTGCTTCTATGCGCAATAAAGTAACGGGGCTCTGGTAGTCGAAACTTCAGAAAGAATCTGGAGTAAAGAAAATGAACTATGCTCAATCGAAATAATTTTAAAACAAAACAATTTAGATTAATACATGCTCCATATCTTGTTTCTATGTTCTACATTCTATCTAATTTCTATAGCCTATAATACAGTTCCTGACTACTTACTTGGGAGTAGGCCATAAATCACGACCCCCCCATTTCTAATTACAATGTATCACTCTTTTAATCTTATATTAAAACCGCCTTAATCGTTATCCTTAACATCAATGATGGTCGACTTGAATTTCCTTGCAGAAATCTTTCGGTTGAAAAGAATGTCGGTTTCACGGTAAGAGCGATTTTTGAGCTCAGGAAGGAAGAAGTAGGCCATGACCCAACAAACGACAGCGGTGCTTCCCCATACAAAACCGCACTTCCCTGCAAGATTCCATCCGGTTGAGTTGAGCATTTGTGAGGCAAGATAAATCATAGGAATTTCTGCAACATAGTAGGCAGCACGACCAACACCAGTGCTCAAGGCACGAAGACGGACAGAGGATGTCTCAGCAATAATGCTGTATGAGATTGGACCGAGACTTCCGGCGAAGACGAATGAAATGATTATTCCCAAGCATGCTTGAGCGTAATTGGTTTGGTTATTCTGTGGAATGGAGGCGCAGATACCGAGAATGAAGAGCAAAGTGACGTTAGTGGCTGTACCCCAAAGATAAATTGTTCGACGACCGAATCTGGCGGTAAGAGGCCAGGAGAGTACATTGGCAACCAATTGAAGGCATGAGTTAATCAAATTGAGCTTGAAAGAGAAGTCTGTGGAGATTCCAGCTTCTAAATACATCAATACAGTTAGCTAACCATGACTTCATATTTCAAGGAGAAGATTATCCACTTACGCTCGAAGAAAAAGGTAGCTTGATTGGCAATAAGATTTCCGGCAAAATTCTGTGATGCGTATATCAAGCAAGTGATAATCGTTCGTCTCAAATCAGTACCTCTGAAGAGGTCAAGAAGAGTTGGGTCCCCTCCTATTTTCTTTTCGATCTCAACGGTACGCTCCATCATGGCAATTTGACCTTCAGCATACCCTTCGGACTTATTGCCAAGACGCGTAATGGATCGAAGAGCTTCCTCCTTGCGACCTCGTCGTATCAGCCACCAAGGCGATTCTGGGGCGAAAAAGATAAGAATTAAGAGTGGAGTCTGAACAAATGAGCTTTTACATCTTCAGAGTCTCAAAGGAAATACTTACGGGGAAAAGCCATTGCAAAGCAAGAGGCGCCCTCCAGGCCCATGTACTATCCTTTTTGTTGTAACCATAAGTGGCAGCGGCGACGATGATACTGCCAATAGACCAAGACATTTGTAAAGTAGCAGTACATGCACCTCGAAGTGAAAGAGGGACGACCTCACTTGCATATGCTGGAGCGTTTGCGATGAAAAATCCCCAAGGGACACCTTCGAAAGCTTGACCGATTGTGAGCACAGCGAGAGAGTCGGCCTAAATTGTATTTATCGTCAGCTCGTTGAGCATTGCAAACATTAAGAAAACAAGCATGCAACTTACGAAGAAAGAGATAAAAATCGTGGCATTCATCATGATCAAGCCAAGAATTGTAGTCCAACGGTAGCCAAGCCGATTGGTAACAGGGCCAGCTAAGAAGACACCAACGAAGGCACCGCATTGACCTGCCTGAAAGAGTGCACTTTGCCATTTTGTTTGAACAGCATATGATCCATCAGCTTGTTGGATACCGTAAGTTTGTTGGAAAAAACCGAGTGCAACAAAATTTCCATTCAAGAACATATCGAACGATTCCATTACCTGAGTTGTGTTAGAAAGCAATCTGCGGAATATTTTCATAAACGCTAAGGGACTCACAATGGTGAAACAAAAGGTAAATGCCCAAAAGCAAGCCATGGGATGTTGTTTCGCAGCCTCCCACATACCCATCTCATGCTCTCGATTCTCTCCTTCGAAGGCATCGTTCATAAGATCCTTATCAACGAGGACTTCGGCATGTTCCAGGTTATGTGCCTTCAAGCTTTCAATGTCGCCCTTCTCCCCATGTACATCAGCTCCAGTCGTCGCCATTTTGAATGTGTTTTTTGCAGTGTCGTTTTGTCTTTGCAAAGGATTTTCCCAAGGCTCAACAAAATGAACAGAATCTCGGAAGCTCGGCAGCTTCAATTCAGATGCGGAAAGAGCACAGGAGAGCTTTCTTATCACGTACAAGCAATGGCGATCGACAAAATAAATTGCTCGTTATCATGCAAAGTATGAAAAGGTACCTGGGTACATTGGGGGAATCGGGACATTATATCCTGTTGATCTTTGCATGTCCGGAAAGATGCTTATTGGTGGTAAAATCGTTTCTGCATGAGACAACTCTACCGCACGAGTCCGCCCCGCCCCCAGTAGCTTCTTTATTTATCTACGTGATGCTTCAACAGTAATGCATGCCAGAACCAATTAGAAACAACGAAGTTTGTATGGAATTGTATGAAATTGTATTCGCACGAATTGAAACTGGTTAGTTTTAGAAGGAAACTATTCTCTTTGGGAACTTATCCCCCGCACCCCGTGTTGTGAAATTAGGTTTCCCCAATTACGCTAACCTCTTGTGTAAAACTTCCCCGCGCTCCACCCCGAGCTCCACCGTTGTAAATCAGCTTTCCTCAGTCACAATCATTGTTCCGTTCCATTCTCGCGACTTGCAAGCAATATGCAATGTGGTGTACACAAGATACTGGAATAAATGGCTGAAAATTCGAGGCACAGAAAATGAGATTTCAACAGGGAATTCTAACAACGCGCGTATGGGCATACGTGGACAACGTCACTTCTCCTTCAAAAGGAAAAGGGTCTGCCTCGTGCGGAGAAGTAACCGACGATCAAAATGGTTTGCCGTCGACCGGAAACATGGAGAGAAAACATGTATAAAATTGTTCCACCTTACGATTTTTTCATGGATCTCCAATCAATCTAACGGGGACGCAAGCGCGAAGATAACCACATGATTCTTTAAACTAGAGTTGTGGCCGGAGCATGGAGAGAATTTGAGATAAGCTATGAGTTGTAAGCTTCGGAGTCCGAACTTACCATAAAATGGGGCTCGCAATTGAACAGTTGTATCGCGCAGGTTTCCAAGGACTTAAGCTTTTTTAAAGTCAACTATAACGGGAAGGTGTAAAGCTTTTTTCAACGATTGAAAAGAAAGTTTACATAAGGCAAAGATAATAATGAGTTTTTGGTCGTCCAAGTCTTGGATACCAGTTTGAAATACGAGGGTACGTCAATAGTATTGATGTATGATGGGATGCATAGGAGAGATATTCATGTTGAATGAATAACGAGTAAGGAAAGTTCTTACTTGATCAAATTCCGAGTTTACAACCATAGGTACCGTAGCCAGTTCAATGAGCTTCAGCTGATTCGACAAGTGCTCGCCTCGCTCACCAAGATAACATTTCCGGATTCTGCTAAGTGTTAGCTCCGCTCCACCTAATATCTGGGAAAGCGCTCCGGATGTAACTCGTGTCTTGTGTGGGTACGAATGTAACTCCGGAGAACATTAATTTGGGGGGATAGTGGGGGGCGGGGAATACCAGTGTGCCAGGAAATCCCGCCTACCTCGGCTCTACGGTTGTAACCGACACTGACACACTTCGACTAGGGATTTATCGTGGAGCAGACTGCCTTGATTTTTGCTTCCGCTCCACTTGTAGAGCCAAGATCTGGGAAATGGCAATTTTGTTCGTGGAACCAGCGGTAAATGCCTAATACTAATTTAGTTGTGTTACTCACATACCGAGGCCGATAGGGACCATTCCGACAATACACTAAAAATAGATTTGCTTGTAGTATTTAGTATTCAATGGTGTGGTGATAGTAAAAACTCATCATTATGAAGCTTTTAAATTCATTATATTTTCGAATTTTCATGAATTATGATTCTTTTAAGCTATAAGCTGATACTCTTAATTGAGGGTATTCTATTGATATTATTTTCAAGGTTCTAGCCCTAATGGTTCTTGTAAAATTAATTATTGAAATCGAAGCAATTGAGAAAGTTGAGAGGGGGAGATTGAAGAAAAAAAGAAATTCTTATCTTATCCATTTAACCGAGAAGGATCTTATCTTATCACACTCATCAAAATGCTTTATAAAATAATTTTTTATTTCTTTAAACTTAGTACACATCTTTAAGGGAACTTATAAAATAAAGAAATAAATAATATAGTTATCAATTGAAGTTTCAGAATTCGATTAATATAAAATTGAAAAGATTCAAATGAAAAATGGAGTTTTTATAAATTATGTTAAGATCTTAGCTTATTAATATATAAGATTTTCATCTTTTGATTATTAATGCCTGAAATATTAGGATAGATGACTAATACAGTATCGCCCAAATTAAGCGAATCTCTCACTCATTAATTAATAAATATTAAATCTAGTACACAACTTTGAATAAATCTATGAAAAAGAGAATAAAGTAATTCTATTATTAATTAAAATTTCAAAAATCAATTGAAATAGTTTTGAAGAATTTAAAATGAAAATTGAAATTTTGAATGAATTTATTAAAAGTTTCATCACTTTATTTATAATAAATCTTACTTTGATATTGAATTGACTTTTTAATAATATTATTATTTCTATTCAATTCAATATTAATTCTGGTTTCCATTTTAAATCCTTGAAAATTATATCAATCGATCTCTAGAGCTCCAATTATTAATAAAATTGCTTTCTTTTCTATATTATAAGTAGATTAAGAGTTGTGTACTAGATTTAAGATATATGGTTTAATATAAACGCACCACATAAATTATAAAACTTTCAGCGAAAATCTATTTTTGGGGTATTGTCGGAATGGTCCCTATCGGCCTCGGTATCACAACCAATCATTTCTCTCAGGACTTTGGCGGTTTTTAATCTTCGCCATGTCGAACAACAATGCTTTCACAGCCTGAAGCTCAACTTTGATATATACAAATCGTCAAGTGGAAACCCCTGGCGGTTATTTACCTCTTCAAGTGACAATTTCTATTTCCCTTTTTCATTCCTGCGTATGCTGTTACATTGATACTCGCACCATCTTTCATGTCAGAAAAAAAAGAAATGCAGAGAAAGAAGTGGACCAAATTTATCGATTATCGAGATCAAACTACACTATGAGAAGATGTGGGCTGTTTTCAAAAAACGTGAACTAAACATTTCGATCCCTACTTTTACCAATATGCGATTCAAAAGGGGCTCTGACCAGAATCTGCTTCTCTCCTGGGGTAATGCATGAAGAGGCTTCGGAGTTAATATTTTTGACTGGCCTAAAGTCCTGCAAGCAGATAGGAAATTTGTAGACTTTTGTAAAGCTAGTATTTCTCTTTAAGTTGATTATTATTCATACTCTACAGCAATATTAGTCAACTCCTTAGCTACTTCCAGAAGCTCAGATTGGAAGGCAATTTGTGGCGCACTCGATGAAACTTTTCCAGCATGCGTAGATCTCACATTCGCAAGAACACATACTATACAATCGATTTCCTCATTCCACCATAGAGATCCTGTAAATCCAAGTACGCTTCCATTATGCCCAAGCCAGTTCGTTTGTGTACGGGACTTCCCGAATCTAAAGATTCCATGCCCAATCTCCGTTGATTCTGTGGCTGGCTGCCATATTTTAAGAAGATCCATAGATGAGGGACTAAATAACTTTCCATCCCGGAGATAAATCGCAAACTTGAGAAGGTCACAGGTTGAGGAGATCATCCCACCGGCTACCCATTCTACTGATAGATTTGACTCCCTTGCATTAATAAGATCTATTCCCTTCCAATTATACTCGGAGAAAACTTGAACAGACTCCTGCAGTGTTCCGAAATTCATCTGTAGCATAATCATATCGATTTGGCATATTATTCTTTCGTGGTCCCGCCTGTTCAAACTCTTCCAGAAATGTATCCATTAAATTTAAAGGATCGAGTATTCTCCGACAGATCTCGCTTTCTGCTGAATGGCCGACAATTTTCTCCACGATCAAACCCAAGAGAGTGTAATTTGTGTTAGAATAAGAGAAACGAGGAGTTTCAAACCTAGATGGTCGTCTAACATACTTCAAAGTATCTTTCTTGTCCCAAATTATTTTCGGATCCAATTTTTCACCCTTCGCTTCAGTGATCCAGTTCGGATCATCCTCCCAGCTTTCAACACCAGCAGTATGACTTAGTAAATCAGCAATTGTTGCATCATTTGCGTTACCAATGCCATCTAAATATTCCTGGTTTAAATGTTCACTGATCTTGTCCGACATATTGAGTTGGCTTTCTTCGATGAGTTGGAGGATAACAACCGCCACGAAAGCTTTGGTGATACTCCCGATCCCAAATACGGTCGAATCATTGTCCAGGATATTCTTTTCTAGGACCGCAAACCCAGCAGAATTCCGCCATATAATTCCTTTAGACGTGGCGATTGCAGCGGAGACACCTGGAACACCGGCATCGATGCCACTTTGTAGAATCGACCTCAAACTCTTTGATAATGCCCTTTTCGCGTTATGATTGTTCTCCATATTCAACTCACTGGCTCAATTTGTTAAGCTCAGGATGTGTGAGGCGAAGTATTTCGCATTCATTGAAAACGAAGGGCAGGTGTTGAGTTAGCAAGCATTGCCCTGCATTATGTAAGCAGTAAGCAAAACTTCAGATAACTCACGAGGCCATCGAACAATCATGGGGTAGTTATCAAACTATAGAAAGCTGTTTATGTATCTGCGAGGGAAAATTGGCAGACTTGAGAAGACCTCAATTATTTACAAAAGTGTTCCCATACGCTGCTTTCTTCATGAATCTTGTAGACCGGAATTTTCGATATTACTCCCTTCGCGTATTTTTATGGATTTCTCTTGGATTTTCCTCCCGGTTTCGGGTTTTTGCTCTGCCCATTCGCCTTTCAATCTTGCGCTCGAAATCTGTTATGACTTCGAAGGGAGGGACAACGGCAAGAGTTTCATGGCCGCCGTGCATATTTCATATCTCTGCCACTTTCCAACCTTCAACCTAGGCCCCACTACTTGATTTTTGAGGACCACGATTTACAAAGAGCGTGTGCTGGTCAGAATCTGCAATGATATAGCACAGCGTTTGCGAAGATAGGAATGATGGAGTATGACCCGCTAGAGGTAGTGGAGTTACCAATTTGCTACCTCCTCGATTCATTAAGTTCACCGTCCGATGAGAACTCTCCTGTAACCTTGGGCTACTGAGTCTTGACTCGCTCGATGTAACTACCGGTATTCTCAATTGTCTGGCAAATCGATCATTATCTCAGTTGCGTATTTCAACAGTTATTTGTCAGACGCTGCCGACAAGCTTCGGAGTCATTCGATATAGACTTCTCTGCAACCTCAGTGAAAATTAAATAAAAAAATCGGTACAAAGACTTCAGATATCTTATCAAAGTTGACGAGAACACATTGTGATACCTTCATCTTTCATTCCTCAGAATTCTCTTAAATCACTTCATTCCATTGATCTCCGATAAAGTCTTTTCCGACATCAAGAATATCTCATGATGATCCCCATGAACGTGCAAATTTTGAGAAATGAGATACCAATAATTTTTGCCCAGGGTTTCTAATTATATCTCTCTAAGGGAATGACAATTCATTTTGGACATGAATCCAAGCTAAAAAGACTGCTGGATCAACCTCAAGGGACAATTATGAAACTAGAAACACGCCTGCAGGAGACAATCGCGCAAAGGTATTGCCTTTACTACAAGAAATGACCTATACTGCACAATTTAACAATTTGACTTCTCGAGCGAGATAAAATGACAACACGATATTCAAGAATCTGATAGAATGCTCAGTGACCTAGTTGGTGAAGACCATGTTGCTACACTTCCTACTCAGTGTGATATTCCAGCATCCTTTTGGTTGCTCAAAAGATAGTTTGACCTCCTAACAATCAATCAGTATACCTTTCACAGATCTCCCATCATAACCATCAAACTTACCATCAACAATCAGATCAGCTCCAGTAATATAACTTCCCGCTCCACTACATAATAGTACCAAAGCTCCACTCAATTCTTCTGGATTTCCCATTCTACCGATTGGATTTCTGGAAGTCCAAATATTCCTTGCCTCTTCTAATCCATCACCTTCATTGAGAATAGTATCCATGTAACCCGGAGAAATAGTATTCGTACGGATACCATATCGAGACCACTCAGCTGCAAGACACGATTTCATATGAAGTAAAGAAGATTTGGAGACATTGTAAGCGATTTGAGGTTGAGGATAGTTAACAGTATGACCAGATATCGCTAGGAATTGTTGTTAGTGTACACTCAATCGTTAATTGACCATTTAGAGATTGTGGAGACAAACATGCAATGAACACAATAGAGCCACCAGTTTTTTGATCAACCATTTTTCTGATTTCAAAATTAGTATTACCACCTTAAAGCCGATACAGAAACATACTTGGCAACAGTTTGTGCACATAGAAACGCCCCAGTTGTATTGATCTCCAAAGTGCGTCTCCACTCGTCGACACTTATATCGAGCGCATGCACACATCCCACAACACCTGCGTAGCAACACAGTATATCAATACTTCCTAAGGTTGATGCTGTCTCGTCGATAGCTTGATTCAAAATTTCTGCGTTTGTGACATCAACTTGTTTCAAGAGGATCTTGGAACTGGGAAAGTCTGCCCTCAAGGCGGATATGCCAGGATGATCGTCTTTTGGATTGATGTCATATAGAGCTAATCCACTAAGGCCGTGTTCGAGAAGGGCACGAGCTCCTTGCAAAGCTAGAGTGCCTGCTCCTCCTGTGACTAAATTGGATCATTATGTAAGTGTTTTCAATGATAGCTGGGAGGGGGATGATACAGATCGCATTTCCCTTAACTGCAAATCTATTGATAGCAGGATTCAACCCTGATGAATTCTTTTCAGTCTCAATTGAGGGAAGTGCTGAGTTGGTCAAGCCATTTGCTAGCTGCATCTGAGGTAATGTCCGATTGACTAAGGCATTTCTATTATATTTGTCGTCTTCCATGATGAAGTATTGAAGAAGATAAAGAGACTGTTGAGTCGTGATTACACTTATTAAATATTTATAAGGCTTGCGTTGTAAAATACATGTGATCGGATACGCGGATGGCCTTTGGGTGGTTGAGGATTCGTGGAGAAGTGGAGTCTGCAGGCTCTAATATAGCAAGCTGCAAGCATAAACTACTCAAGTTATCGGAATACCAAGAAACTCATCGATGGTATATCATGGATGTAGAATTTGTTGAGAGTGGGATGCCCATTTCCTTCAAGTTTAGGATGAGACTGTATCAAGCTTTCAACTGCCTTAGGCAGATATCCTTGTAGCGTGCTATTTAATGCTTTCCACAAGAAAGGGTTAAGATGTAAAATGTAAAAGTGTGAGGAATCTCGGTGGCCAATATGGAATGCCGAAGAATATCCACAAGCACAAATCAGAGAGCTTAATTTTTTTCCTTGGTATTGAAAGTATTATTGGATAAAATGTAAACGACCTTGTAATTTATTCACTCAATTCTACATGAGTTGAAATATAGATGTTGATCAGGGCTAGCCATGTGATTGAAAGATGCTGCAGTGTACTTTTGGCATCCGCTAGGATTCCACGACTTTTATCAAATTAAGTGATCGCGTCTGCGCGGAACGCCACCTACTACCGCCAGCTAAAAAATTACTTTGGCCACATAGACTTGGTATAAACCATTTAAACAAGCAAGCAAACAGATGCTCCTTCCGAGTAGTTACCACATTTACTGGCTTTGAATCGTGACCCTTTCTGGCCTGAATGATTAATTCATACCTGTATAAATGGTGTGGCCACGGAGGACCTGGTACTTTGGAAAAGCAGGGGGGAAATGGGAAGTTCAGAGAGGCAAGATGGCATAGAGCAGAAACGACGATTGGTGGTGGTATGAGGACAAGCAAATGATTGAGATCTATAGCCCTGCTTGGAGCACGACAGGGCGGCAAGTTATAATGCTTCATAATCTGACAGTTTATCAGGCCCCTTTGTTGAAAAAAAAGTGTATAAACTTCTCTCAATGAGTCGTCTAAATTCGGTAGACGTTGCAATCCAACCATTCCTCAACTCGATCTGGCCCCGCCCCTTTCTTGATATTCTGCATATCCACGTAGGCGACATTCAGAATGAGGCCAGCACCACATTGCATGGTCCCTCTTGAAATGAAAGAAAGCCCTTCTTTGAGTGGCTTTTTTGACATGGTATTGGGTACACATTATCGTTGATGGTTGAACGCAAATATGAGATGCCAACGTGGATCTCTGCCGACATTCAGCATTTGTGAGGGCTCTTGAGGAATCATCAACACAAGCACTTGCCATGTGAGAAACCCGAATCCTTTCAATGTAAATTGAATGGTGGAGAGTAGAGTGATGACGACATATAATGCAATAGATACAATTTAGAGATTTTTGGCGAATGGTAGGCCAATGAATGATCTCTGCATCCGCGATATTTGTCACAATCCCTTCTTCCTATGTTCTTGTTTGATGATGATTGATATTTGCAATCATTATAGAAAGGGGGATTTTTGTTGTCATTAGACTTATTATTGACTGATAGATATGTGTAACAAGCGCAACAAAACAAATGATTTAGCAGTACATGTACATTTTATTGAAGTATTTCGATCCTACAAAGTACAAAAGATAAAGAGTTTTCCCTTGCGGGCCGTGCCATTTTCCATCTCCGTCTCCATCTCCTTCTCCTTCTCCTTCTACCGTGCGAGGCGTGCTAGCTTTACGGCTCCAGCTATCAACGATAACAACGATAACAACGATAACGGGAACACCGCCAAAATGAAGTCTGACTTATTATCAATACTGAGTACAAGCAAGTACACTTCCTTGACCGAGTATTGACTCGATATTTTCCTCCATATCTCTCAAATTTGTCTGCAGTACAAGCATTACAAATATCTGTTCTCCATACCAACTCTTCGTACTCATCCCCCCTCCCGCTCCCCAGGGACGGAGTCGAGGAACTAAATAGTGCAGTACCTACGAAAAGATCTTCTTCATAAGGGTCCATACCCAGCAGGATTTTATTTGATTTTGCCATCTTCGCCATCTTTAGCAGACTTGATATTTGTGCCGATCAAACATTCGAGAATCAAAATCCAATAAGCATACTCATTCGTACCCATTTTTGCTTGCGTATCCGAACAAAAGAGTTTCCAGCCCCATTTTCGGTGTTGCATATGCAAAAAGCCTGTCAGCAAATTATCAGATTGTAACCAATCAATCATATCATCCACAGAAGGATTACCCTATCCCATGCCACCAGATGTTCACCGTTGAATTGTCTCGCCCATCGTTTTAATCCACCCACCGCATTGTGAAGATAATTCCATAGGCTCAAATGCCCAATTAATTTTGAGGCTATTGGGGTCAGAAAGTTCGAATGGCGGGTTCGAATGATATTCATAAAGTAAGGCGCAGGCCAAAATTTCGAGATGGCGAATTAGAAGATGGCAAAATTCATAAATCACGATCAGGACGACATGAAGGAGAGGGCGGAGTCACATCAGTTGAGCCTGATGTTTCTGAAGTCCGCAGAATCCGTCTAGAAAGACTCGAGGGGAATTCTACAAATCGATCGACCCGCAACAGTGCAGCAGCTACTGAAAAGATGCCCGCGGATTCAAGTACGACACTTGATGCGACAAAATCGGCATCGAGTCATAGAAGAAGAAGACGACATCATACTTCAGAAGACGGTGCTGGACATCATTCGCGATCAAAAACAAATGAGAAGGAGGAGAAATCGGGGGGCGATTATGTTTATGCTGCTCCAAGGGAGAGGCAGAGGGAGAAGGAGAGTGGAAGTAAAAACAAGCCTCGGGAGGCGACTAAAACGGAAAGGAGACGCCGGGATGCAGAGGATGAGTCTAGTAGTGATTCCGAGGACGATGATAATTCCCCAGTAGAACCTATGGATTCAAAGTTGAAGAAGAGAACCAAGGCTGTGGTTCCAGAGCAACCAAAAAGGTCAAGTTCAACTAGGAGGGTCAAGAAAGAGGATATAGACAAGTCACCTACGAAGGGCTCCGCAGATCTGGGAATCTCAGGGTCGAAAAATGCATCGCGTAGAACTAAAATCACTGCCGGTGATTCCGTGTCACGCCCTCCACTTTCGAGGTATTTATCTTCGCTTTGCGCATCTTACATTGAGGTTTAATATTAATTGCATTTGGATGTAGGAGTGCAACGACTCGGATTACCACGGAACCTGCGCCAATACTGAGAAGGAGTAATACAACAGTGCCAAAACCACCAGCATCTGTCGCAAACACAACCACTTCACAAACGTCACAACGCCGTGGTAGTTTTCTAGGAAGTTTCTTCTCATCCGGACCACCACCCCCTCCTCCTCCACCCCCCGAACCGGAGAAGCTGTAAGTCATTCCATAAAACCAATGCACAAAAGTAGTATCCTAATCATTACAGTGTCGAATGTCTAACCTGTCTATCCGATGATATTCCCAAATCTAAATGTGCCAAACTACGATGTGGCCATCGAATGTGTCATTCTTGCCTCAAACGGATATTTCGATTGTCCGTTAAGGATCCAGCACATATGCCACCAAAATGTTGTACAGCAGAACATATTCCATTGAAACATGTCGAAAAGCTATTCGATGTACCTTTCAAGAAACTTTGGAATAAGAAGTATCAAGAATATACTACGAAAAATCGAATATACTGTCCCGCGAAGAAATGTGGCGAATGGATTAAACCCGAAAATATTCACAAAGAGAACGGGAAAAAATATGGAACCTGCGGGAGGTGTAAGACAAAAGTCTGCGCCTTGTGTAATGGTAAATGGCATGGATCGAAAGAATGCCCCAAAGACGAGGAAACAAACAAATTACTCGAAACTGCAAAACAAGCTGGATGGCAGCGTTGTTACAGTTGTAGGACTATGGTAGAGCTGAAGGAGGGGTGTAACCATATGACTTGGTAAGTGGAGAATTTGTTCCAAGCTAGAATGGTCAAAAAACTAACGTATAATGTCTTCAAAGTCACTGTACAGCACAATTTTGTATGATCTGTGGGTTGAAATGGAAGACATGCAATTGCCCATGGTTCAATTATGAAACAGCTGAGAATGATAGGTTAGATGACATGCAAGTCCCTCAACCCGTTCCTGTACAAGAGGCTCCTGTCAGAAATCCAGCAGCACCTCCAAGAAATGCTCGAGACAGAGCGAGAAGACAACCACCTGCCAATTACAATGAAGAGCTCGATCAAAGACGTCGTCAAGAACGAGAAGATGAAAGACTAGCTCGACAGCTGCAAAACTGGGGTACGGATGGAATGCCAACAAACGATCGCGATGCAAACTATAATGGCGGAATAGGCGAGGTTCAGGGGGTCGGTAATGGCGCAAACCATTTCATGAATCAAGACTACATACGCGAAGCTAGCGATGTCCTAGCTCAACCTGGTGGGGTTATGAACTTTGGGCTTGGAGTTACAAACTTTCTTCCAGGATTCTTAAGACCACGAGGAGTGGCTGCAGCAAATCCAACTGTTGGTGAAATGACTGATCGTTACCCAACAGTTGCTCCAGCCCCTGTACCTGAGCCACCTGCGGCACCGGGTCTTGTTCGAAGACATACCACTCGGGACACTGCAAGAGGCACTGGACATACACGAAGAGCGTCAGATATTGTGGTTCCGAGAAGAACAAGAACTGATTATGCGGCTGAAGCAGCCATCCTTGCGCCAGCTTCGAGAGCTTCTGCTACGCCTTCCAGAGTCTCTAGTTCTGCATCAAAGCCCAAAAAAGAAAAGGAGAAGACAAAGTCATCAATACTTGCTGGGCTTGGTAGTGGAAGAAACAGAGTAGATGCTTGGAGAAATCACGTTGCTCCTGGTGCTCCACCTGCGGAACCGGTATCTTGATTTGGTTTTGTCGCTTAGAGGAAGAGTGGTTTTGGTAAACGGATAAATAGATTAGGATGAACGAGAGGGTTACGCTTGACTACAAATCAATTCTTACGGAAACTCGACATGGATAACACAATGACTACAGACCTATGAGAGACTTGGATGGATGGATGAACGGATGGTTGATTGGATAAAAGGGGTACGGACACGGGTGGAAAGGAACGGTGGCGGGGAGACATGGCTATGGCTATCTCGTTTATATGGAGCAATAACTCGGATCAATACCCGGCTGGCGGATATGGAGTTCAATAATGACTATATAACGATCAACGATCTATACCATTTTTACGAATAATTTTCTTCTTCGCCTAAGGGTGGATTTAGCTTAATGTACATAGAATTACTGGAAATGACTTACTTTTACCTGGCACCTTGATACTTGGAATGTCTATATGGGATAGTTCAAATCTAAGTCACAGTTTCTAGCCAATGTATAATTGTACTCTGTGTCAGAATCTGATCGCAATTAGAATATCGTACCATGGGTTGCATTATTCTTGGAATTCAGCCCTCTCCTTTGTTCTTTAAGGTTTCTCAGTAGGCGTATAACAAATTCTTCTGTCCGATAGGAAGCGCACATATTGGAGTATATAGAGACGAAGTAGATGGGAATTAAAAAAGAAACGGAGGTAAATGAAGAGGTACGAAGGGGGAGGCACATCAAATTTGGGGATGTGAGGGAAGGGCGAAGATGAGGTTCACCAATTAACTGACAACAGTCTTTTGTGTATATTAAATTCGGAATTCTTATCCTGTTGTACACAAATTTGGAGATTTGGGAGCGCATTAGGAATTGAAAGTAAATCATAACTTAGCCTCTGCATTAATTAAGTCTCGAAAGCTGATATGTGCAATTCTCGAGCCAGGAAGGAATAAGACAGATGTCACAAACTTAAACATGAATTCAAAATATGAAAAGGAACAAGTGGGATGGATGGCAAAAGTCCTCAGAAACTCAATTTGTATATGTATCTCTTATGTTAGAGAAATATTTCCATGCTGTCTAACAAAACGATAACTCCATGGCTATGCAATTATATCATATCCCTGAAAAAAATTCATTCCCATCCTCTCTTCGTCAGTGAACATTAATTATCCTTGGATGCCGGCATAAGATCATGTTTAGGTATTACTTCGGATCCTCCTGCACTTGTTCCATCTAGTCCTATACCCATCCCAGCTACATCTTTAGGAGGAACCGGGAGAGTAGAATCTCCACTGCCCAGTCCAGCTCGCCCCAATTCTTTATCTACTGCTTCAATTAGATCGGGACTCGCGACCAAAGGTTCTTTCCCTAGAAACTTTGCAATTTCTTTTTTGTCGGTTCCTTTTTCCTTAGAACTAGTACTTTGACTTCGATATGCATTTGAACCTTTCCCAACAATCTTCTCTGTCCAGTTCCACCCGGAAGCAGCTGGTTTGTTCTCATCCTCTTCACTATCGTCTGCACTATCAACCCAATCTCTATCACTCCACCCGGCACTCTCATATCCATCTTGTTTATTCCTTGGCCGACTTGCACTTCTTGACGGTGCGGGTGGTGGTCCCATTGATGAAGTAGAAGTTGCAAGTGCTGGAACGGAATCTCTCGCTTCTCGAGCTTCCGAATTCGTACGATCATGTCTTGTAATTCTTTCACGATCCTTAAATTTTTTCTCTGCATTTATTGTATCCATTGAAGATTCGACTTCTTGTCCTTCTGAGCCTGGAGCCTCCCCTGCACCTTTAGCTCTTTCGTTTCCTCCACTGTCTTCATCTTTTCTTCTTGCAATTGCATCGTCAGAGAAATGGGTATCACAAAGATGTTTGATCACTGGCCACCCATATGCATTGGCAAACATTCTTCTCACAATCATGTTATTATGAGCGTCAGGTTCTAAGCTGACGAGAACCTTTCGCCAACTTAGATCCCGATGATAAGCTCTAGCAATCTTCTCTTCGACTTTCATTGCTGAAGAGTCGACAACAGTATTTGGAGGACGAGAGGGGTTAGTATTCTTGGGATCATCATAATCCAAGGCTGAAAGTTGGCTATCGGTATGAGAAGTAGGTGTTGGTGGGGTAGGTTCAGAACCGGAAGAATTTCGTCGTCTAAGCATCGTAGATCTCTTTTTGAGAGGTGGTGGAGGAATATCCGAAGGATGATATACACGATCATGGAAAATTGTTCGAGCACGGGAGGCTGGATCAATCAAAAATTCTGTAGATGGTAGAGGTGGCTTGAGAAGATCACCTGCTGATTCAAAAAAGGTTGTTTTTGGGGGTGCTGATAGATGATCTGGATCTTGAATTTCGGTTTCTCCCGTCGAAGCGTTTGGGTGGCCCTCTGAAGCTGGAGATGGTAGAGATGACGGTGTCGACGAATCGCTATCGTTGGTGAGTTTGATGGTTTGGCTTCTTTTATATATTTTCGAATGTTTAGGTTGATGAGCATGGGATTTTGGAGAAGGGTTAGAGCGAAAAAATCCAAAAAGACTTGCGAGTGGTCCATTATTATTGGATGTAAAAGATGTAGATGTTGGACTTCCAATCTCGTGACTATTTCTACCTTCTATAGAAGATATAGTTGAATGACCAGGCATCTCTGCATTTTTAACACTTCGCTTATCGTCATCCATAACATTTTCTGGAGGTTGTGGTACTTCGGTTTCCAGTCTTTGTAATGCGTTGGAAGAAGCAGTTCCCCCAATATCATCCATGTCGCTGACTTCCTCCTCTGACCAAGGTGCTTGTTTCTTTGCCGGTGACCCAGAATTGGCCCCAGTTAGTTCAGCCCAACTCCATTCCGCCATGGTACCAACAAGACCATTCTCCCTTCTAGCTTTCTCCACACGACCCAGGCTTTGCCAATCAAGGAAGAGTAAACAACTAGTTCTTAGGGGCACAATTCCATCATTTACAACATTTGAGTAGACTGTACGATGTCGAAATTTCTTAAGAACAGTATGTGCGGGTCCAGTTGGTAGAATTCGTAAAAGTGGCTTTGCTTCTGGTGCAGATTCGCCATCAAGTCTCTTATGGGCACTTTCTCCAATATTTCCAACGAGCGCACCCCAACCGCTTCTTGCGATGGTTGGTGCTCGCCATGTCAGTCCAAGATCTTGACCTGTACGACCGACCAATCCAAAATCCAACGCAAATTTCACATACAACGGGTTCTCATTGCTGAGACCTAAGAATGGTGAAGCAAGTGCAATGAAATTTATTGGCTTGATTATGTCGAAGAACTGAGGTGAATGTTTTTGAATGTATGCCACGGCATATGTTTGTACCAGTCCGCCAAGAGAATGAGCAATGAAACTAATACTGGTGAAATGATAAGGAAGATCAACATCTTGTGGCGCTTTAACGATGCTGCTATTCTCATGTGCTGGTTTCCCGGAATCATCCATCAACTTCGAAGAATCAGGTTTAAGAGCATGGGAAAGGGCTTCAGTCGCTGACTTCTTGAGGGTAGGTCGAAATGGTTGATCTGGGTATGTCATCGTGAGAACATATTTGGCAAGTCTTTTTCCTAGGTATTTAATTCCTCTTTCTGTTCGGACGGCATTCCCGGAAAACCCTCGTACAATAACTTCTTCCTCGTCATCAGATTCATCATCTGTTTCTTCCACCTGTTCCTCGGGACGTCCTTCTGCGCTCGCTTCTCCGTTTGATATACCATCAGCTTGTGCGTTTTGATTTCCGGCCTGCTCAGCTGCCTTTCTTTGCTTCTCCTCTTGTTTCTTCTTTGCTTTTCGAGCTTTTGCATCGATCTTGGCTTGCTTAGCTGTCGCGTCTATGCTCTCCTTCAAGAATAGCATGTCGGCGCCAAGATTACTGTGCAATCCGTGGGTCAAAACCACCAAATGTACATTTTTCGTCCGCTTGTTCCCCGGCTTCTCTTTGATATGACCCTCTCCTGTGGCATCCTCAACTGGCGCATCCTTATTCTTGCCCTTCGATCTTTGTTCCTCCGATGCCTCATCCCTACCATCCATCTTCGGGGTATTCCATAGACTTGCAGTATCATCAACCTTTACTCGTAGGGCTCTGGAATAAATGCCCCTCGGTAGTGCCGCGTGATGACCATCTTTCGCTCCTTGACTCTGTTGGTGATCATGGAGTTGTCCAGGCACTGGTGCTGTGCCTCCTAACATCGATCCTGAAGCAAATCCCAACGACAGACTTTTTTCGTCCCGACCTAGCAGAATTTCGTAATTAACGCTGGCAGAATTGGAAAAGACAACCTGCGATGTGACTTCAATGATCCAGGTAACACTTTTCACGTCCGAATCATCTCTGCCGGGCGACCTTCCATCTCGATTTGCACTTCCGGCTGTCTTGCGCACATCTTCTGGAACAATGAGTTCCGTCGAGAAAGAACCTCCGGCTTTTAGATTTGGCTCGAATTCAGGTACACCATCCCGTCTAGGATTTTCAAACTTGACATTCGGATTGAAGGTGGAAGGATATGCTGCGGCGTAAAGAGTATAAGGACCGTGAACGAAGGCTGCTCGGAGTGCGATGGCAGAAGTATTCTTGATCTTCAAATGAAGTCTTGCCGGAGAAGGCAGGATTCTATCGTGTGCCGGCGTATACGTCACATTATACCGAACTATCTCTCCTATCTTCACACTTCCAGCTTGGTATAAAAGTAACATCTTATTGATATATGGTGGGTTGTCAGCGTGTAAAGGCACCACATGAGCAAGTGCCGAGTAGAATGGGAGAGGGGGAGAATGTAAAGAATGCAAATGAGAAGTGATGCTATTGTACTGCTGAACACATTCTGAAATGGATGAAAATAAAAATATAGGAGTATCTTTTGTGAATAGGACTATATCGATAAATACTCGTACAATAAGTAGGCATTAAGATGTTAATTAAAAAAAGGAGAAATGGTTCCCCTTCAACCAAAGAAATCTTGGTGCACGACCTCACATGCACATGTTCAATTGTTCAAATGATTATGATTTGGGACGATTGACCTTATCGTTATCAATTCACTGGTACCGACTCACAATGACGATTTTGTGTGGCTACCGAGGCTGGTAGTGGCGCAACTTACTGAAAGGAGAGAATGGAGATTTTTATTAATGCCATAAATCCATAATCCATGATCCATAAATATTGTGTGATTTTAAAATTGCACGTTGACATTGAATTTTTTTAAATTGAACCAAAATCAACAATATAAATGTTATTATTCCTGTATTCCTGAATGATGTAGATACATACGTCTAGAAGTCATTGATTTGAACATTAAATGTTTACCGGGCACTTGTGGATATAAAAAGATATCTACCGACAGATATCTTGTTGGAATGACCAGTGTCTCTATCACAATGCCAACGGGCTCCCTGAGATCACTTCTCCATCACTGATCCCCAAAATTATCCTCATCATTTCATTGAAACAAATCTATCCTCGCGAGTGAACCTGTCCCAGCGAACGAGGGTCCAATGTCAAAAGTTATGAGCCAAATATGTCTTTGGGGTTTGGGAGTTTTTGATTTCGTTTGTTCACCAGGTCCATACATATTCAAATGCGGCAATTGGGGTTTGTAGTATAGCAAGCAGATGCATACCCATGGCTCTTCATTTATGACTGCGAAAGCTTTTGGATTCAATTATCTATCTTGTATCAAGCGGTTCAAGGTTTTTCGTAAATGCGATGCTAAGCTTCCTCATAATGAGTTTTCGTCCCTGCCCATGGCCTTCACCCCTCTGGAATCTTTTAGGCTTCAACGATATGGTGGTGTTGCTGAGGAAGAACTCGATCACCTCTCACATCCCTAGGTTCATAATCCAAAACCTCAAATGCAAACTTTGCCAGATCCATCTCAACCCTACCCATTACCCAACTAGCCATCATATCCATCCCAGCACAGGCACCGCCAGCCGTCCAAATATTACCATCAATAACCCATTGAGCATCGATTGTCCAATTTACATTTGGAAAATACTTCTTAGCGTGTTCAATGAAAGTATGATTCACCGTTGCTTTCTTTCCATCCAAGATTCCCGTCTGAGCAACGGTTACGGCACCAGTGCATGTAGTGAAAAGGCCCTTGCCTGCCTCAACATGGGCACGAATAAAGCTTTTGAAAGATTCAGGGAGTTGGTAGGTTGGTATTGGACCACCAACAAGGAGGTAATCAAGTGGTGGACAATCTTTGATAGTGGTTGTTGGTACCACTTTGAATCCAGCAGTGAGCTCAACTGGTTCCTATTTCTGATCTTAGATTATGCTCTGGATTTGTAACATTAGATATCTTACCAAGGTTTCATTGATGTGAAAGAAGTTGATATCAATTGCGTGAGGTAGCAACCGATCAATTTCCGGAGCCTCGGGAGATTGGCAAGCTTCCATCATTGATTTGGACTATGTATAACATTAATTTTTAAACCAGCTATCTAGAACTATGTCAGATTCATTTGACTTACACATGAGCTCAGAACATCCAGAGGCATAGCAGCGTCGATTGTTTGATAGGGTATCATGAGAACGCCAAAATTGATTGGAGCCATGATGAAGATAATTCCGCAGGCGGGAGATTCTTGTTCAAGAAATGGAATAAAGCTTAGGTGCTGAAGCAATGATGGAAAGAACTTGATTGAGATGTTTGTTCTTTTTAATAATGCAATTGAGAGGATTAAACTCGAATTAAGTAGTGAGCTGCAATGTTGTAAACCAGATATCCCTCAGCAGCTTTCGGATATACGATAGGATATAGCCACGGTAGTCAACAACCCTCCGACGCGCGCAATTCAGTGCATCTCAGAGTCTAGATTTCTTAAGTTCTCCGCGGAAGTAGAGTTCTACTCATTGTTGAGCAATTTTTAGAGAGATATTCACGGGTACTCTGTTCTGTTGATCAGGTTCTTTGATTCTTATTCGATCTTCTTCGCGCATCTTCTATATCCTTTCGGATGCTTGGCAAGGAGGATGTAGCAACCCATTATCATCTTATGAGAGTATTCAGCATATCTGATTATTATGAACGCATGGGTTGGTGTGTGAATTGCATAACTTTTCCGGTCAGCTGCGCTGTCTTTTTGTCTACTATCAAGGTATGGTTCTTCATTCGCTCACTCATTACAATCTTCTCTGTAAACAGGAGATGCCTGAAGCCACTTGATATTTTGAGAATATTGCAGAGTTTTAGACATGTTGTAAGGTTTTTTGCGGTACATCTAAAATCCCATGATACGAGTAGAGATCGTCGGGTCAGCCCCTGAACACAGGATATGTTTATAGCTCCATGAATTGCACCCCGCCTATTGTGCTGCTCAATGAATCAGTTTTAATGAAATATTGTTTCGTGACTAGGAGATAGAAATCGAGATGATAGAAAAACTGCAACCAAAAACTCCAAGTACTGTAAGTAAAACCCAATCATCCTCCCCAGGTTGACTTTTTCTTCTCTACATCAATCTCCCCGATTTAATCAAATGATTTGCAAGCTCTAATCACCTTAGCCAGACTATGAGGTATCTCTCTGCTGATTATCACACCATTCGCTTGATTCGTACCTACTCAGACACTGCCATGCGGTTCCAATATCATGGGTTTGAGAAAGCGCCTTTGCTACCTTATCACTGTCTCCTTTCTTTAACACAAAATAAACATAGGTATCCATTGGTGCACCGTAAGATGGTACACATTTCCAACTTTTCGCATAAATCGAGCCTCCTGTAGATAAAATTTCTTCATTAGATATGTGCGAAACAAATAAAAGGGCACACAGAATGAGAAGATAAGTGGTGAAAGAAAGGAATAATTACCACTGTCTTCGATATTCTTCACTAAACCTTTTGCGCATGCATCTTGGGAAAGAGTTTTATCCACATTTGGGGTATCGTCGGTGTTACCCCACTAGCGATGAGGTTAATCTAACAAATCGCGTAAGGGAATAATACAACTCACTCCGGCCAAGTTAATTACAAAAATACCTTCACTCCCAAAAATAGGAGTGTATCGACAGCAGTTTTTGTATGCAACAACTTCATCTGTCCGACGAAGATTTCCTTTTTGGTCACGTTCGCCCAGCATTACGGTTGGGGTGGAAGTGTTCTCATTCTGGGGGTTGGCAATAGGACCTATATCGATTGCGGGGATGGCATAGACCGTACTAGAAAGGAGAGTAATAGAAAACACGACAAGAACGGTCAGAGATATGGGGGAGGGCCTAGCCGTGCAAATCATGGCAACGAAACCAAAGGGAATGAGACTGCGATCTGATGAAAAACTTCAGTACATATAATTATTTTGTTCGCGAAGATAGACTACGGACAGAATTCGGAGAACGATTGTTTGATGCCGATGTGATTTGATGATACGATTTAATCGATAAAGAAAGTGATGTATGAGTCGACTTTAGTTCATGAAAGCTTCCTAGAGCTCAGATTTTAACGTTCTCGTCCGTCTCTGCCTGCGATGATAGAGGCTTAGGCGACCTACCTGCTCGATAGGAGCACTTCGCAGTAGACTGTGTGAGGCCAGCCAGCCAACTCCTCTTTCGGCCGCCCCTAAGGTTTGCTGCTATCATTCATTCCAGAGTATCAAAACTATGACGGTACACATTGCAGGACGGCAGAGAGACTTAGATTTTTGCAGTATGATACAAAGGAAATTTCAGCTTCTACTTAGAATTCCGAAAGCTACTTTAGTCAAACCTATGCTAGCGATGGACGTGCCGAAAAGGCCCCCTGAGATACGTTTCGGACACCAAGAACTTGCTTCAAATCACGGTCACCTCTTTCGGCTGAAATGGAACGTTGAAGCAAAACTTCATAAAGACAGCACTCTATACAGGACAGAAAGATACCGTGCCAAGATGAAGAATTGCGCATGAATGAGACCCATATAGTGACTACCAACCATCGTTTGAATTGGCAGCAAGTGCTTCAGAAATATTTCTGCCTTGAACAATCGCACCGACCATCGACTCCTGGCGTTTACAGACGCAAACGCGCACAATCTTCAAGAGCTATAGATTGTTGGATTCGGAAACTGTCAGCCTAGGGAAAACACAACTAATTGTTTGTGAGATAGTACTTCTACTTGAAGTCCTGATCAAAAATTCCAAGGAAATATCTTTGTAAGGGCGAATACTTCGCGGCTTGTTGTAACCAATCTTCCTGTGATGGATTAGGTCCCAATGGTTAGCATACAGTGCAAATTCATATCAAGCTTCCCTTTACGGATGGTTGAACTTAAGGCACGGAAGCTGGCCGGACCAGAAACTCAATCTTCCAGTCCTCACTGATGGTTCAGGAAAGTAGAGGCTTTGCACTACCCATAGCTGGCCAAAATCAAAGTTGACTGGATAACCTATTCTTTCTCTTGATTTCGTGATTTTTCTTCTGCGCTCAAGATGAATTTACATAATTTGTACTCCATGGTATTGTAACTACTTCTGTATGATTTTAATAGCTTAGTATTTGAGGGTTGTCGTGAAACGAATTGACGATTGGATTTTCTCACGAAAGTGTTGACTGTTATAATGGTTTTGGTGTTGACGCGTGTATCCAGATCTTAAGGTTTCATCACTAGGAATCTCGTGATGACACTAAATATAGCCAACCCGTGCTTATATCTTGTATTTCAATTTGTAAACGGACTATGTTTATTTTTTTCCTTCACAAAATTATTATTCAACGAGAGAATCAACGCTCAAAACATTGAGTCTTTGCTTTGCATCTTTTGTGCCAGTTGTCATCTATTCCTGTGTTGTTTAGGACACGATATTAATGTACTCCAAGCCACGTGCTCCGTCGACGCGAAGTCTGTCTACTGTCATACCTGTGCTATATTTACCAATGGATAGTCCCGTTGTTGGATTCAGGTTTCGAACTTTTAATTACGATTTTATAACATAGTATGCCATGGGTACCAGAATACTACAATATTCATAACTTAGACTATCCCTAGGAGGCACAAAAGGAGATTCAAAGTTGTAATCGAGGCCCCGGTGGTGCAAATTCTTCAGAGTTAAAGTCTTTCAGCTGGATGAAAGTTGAGAACCCAGATTGTTAACAGGACGTTATTTTTAAGTGAGCTTCTAGTCACTGTGTCTTTCTGGTGCATTGATCTCACTATAATGGCTCAAGCAGATGAAACAGACGGAGAAACCCCTCAACAAACAGTTGCTGGAAGTGTGTTACATACAAGCTCGACGTCAACATAGCCTCGAGAAATGAAAAAGATGGCTCACTTTGTTTTCGTCTAGATCATGTCACAGATCAGCAAATTCATATCTGCTATATTTTTAGCATATCTCACACAATATCTCTACCCTTTAGCTCGGGTTTGAATGGCACAATAACAACATGCTTTTGACATCGACTCTGTCAGCGACAGCCCAGCATGCAGACCTCGGTCGTCGGAAGGTTAACACTGCCATGTGCATGTTATCCCATTACTGAATATAAGCACGAAGAAACATGTATATCTACACTTGTCTGAGATTTCATGCTTTTTCTCTGACATATTGTCAAATTTGGAATCACACATTGTATAAAAATGTTCAATTTCTACATGCTTTCGAATGAAGGTATCTTCGTCCCACTTCACCTTTAGAATTTGCTCGACCACTCTCCACGGTACCAAACATCTTATCATTCACAATTGTATTCGCTAGCATCATATCAGTTCATCACAATGTGTATCTTCCGTATCTCTTTATTTTCTTCTTGGCCGCTTCCTCATCGCCAGTCTTGGCTCACGGCTTCCAAGGAGGAGATTTTTGTACTAAAAAGCAAACACCTACTACGAATGGTCAATCGACCACTACAGCGGCGGCGCTATCAATAAATTTTTCGTGACAACATTTAAAACTTCTTTCACGTCCAGGAACACAGACATCAATGCTCAAGATTATGAATTTACAATCAGTTCTCAGGAAGCTAAGAATTTTAACCTCAGAGACTCCATGTGGTGAAGTCGCCTGGATTCCACCAGGCTATAGCTACAGTCAAAAAAGCCTTTCAACTTACTCCAGGCACAAAATCGTCGTAACTTCATAAACTTAGGACCACTTTCAACATTTATACCTCCTGTTACGACCCCGCCACCACCGTCACCATCACCACCCCCTTCTTCTGCGATATCAACCTCAAGTCTCACTATAACATTTCCTGACTTAATTAATGTTCTCGCTGTAACTACTATAAGCACAAATTGAACTTGATATTCAGGAGAATACGTCTCAATCCTCAAGCCTCTCCAAGAATACCAGCACTGCCGTTGTCTCGATACCCACACCCGTTTTCATGGAACAACACCTGGCTCAATATTTGATTCGACGATATATGATCGAAGTTGGTAGTGATTTTAGATGGTATTCTGACATGTCTTTTTGTGTCTGGTGGTATTTTCCCATGTCGCGGTTTCGAATTTTCGGGGGTTTCAATGGTTTTGCATGTACTGTAGAGGAGACCCAAGTTACTCGTTATATGTGTCTTAAGGGCACCTTTTGCTCACTATTTATATCTCTGTCTCTCATCCATACTTTGATGTTCCACGATGTTCCTAATTGGCTTACTCTTCGATCAAAAAACTGTATACCCAAACCGGTTGAGTCTGTACTTAGATAATAGCATTCACAACCAGCTCATCGGCACTGATGTAATTCTGAAATTGACCTGTATGTAAAATAAGAAGATCCATTTTAAGAGATCAAGGTTAGGCGCTGACGAAACTTTTACGGTTCTCTTTAAGAAAATGGTTCCATCCAAGATGCAGAGTTCAACTATTACAAATGACCATGGTGCGGCACAATGAAAGATTTAAAAATAACATCGACACTGCCACAAATGAGTGTTCTCAGCTTGTATTCTCTGATCATACTTGTCCTGGGTCTAAATCTAAAATAGCCTGCAACTATGTTTAAACTATACTTATGTGCATAGCTTCCCGTGCATATAAGTTGCATATTGGTGTTCAAGTTGCGAACAATGGCATGTGTAGTGGCTTATTGAATCAGTCTCAAATTCCAAACTACGATAATAGGCTGAGGACAAAAGAGACACCAACAATTACTCAATCTTTGTTAAAGTTATTTCTAATAATATGCTTGTAATGCACCCCAACAAAATCAAGTATGTATTCCCCAGGCTCAGACCCAGAATTATCCCATCTTCCGTACTTTAACTTGAGCATAAACAGCTACACAAGTTCACAACTTTCTCACAGTTCAACAAACAGGTTCCAAATCAGCCGGTTACTTTTCTTCAATATGCACTCTTCTCGCCCCCTTTTTCTTTTCCTTGCCATTTATGATTCAGCCGTAAATGCCCTTTCACAAATCCGAACCATTGAAACCACATTCACAACCATTATCACCGCCAAAGATGAGTCGGTCACAGCAGGTATCACTTTAACTCCCATCTCACAATCATTACTGTATCGCGAAAAACGGTTTGTATCGGAGATATCAGTCATTAATAGCGCCATCTCCAACGACTGTACTCAAGTCAAAACATTCCAAGAAGTTCAAGTCTTCAGTTATGCTTCGGCATTTACATCATCATTACCTGAGGATTTCAGTCTGTTTTCCGAGCCAACCGCCATTACTGTTTTCTCAACGGAGACTGTGGTTCCGGTCCAAGCTACAGGTGCTCAGCGTCGCGAGGTTTTGACGCTTGGTGATGAGGTCTTCACAGTAGCAGGGCTAGTTTCGTCATTGAACTTGGGAGCTATCAAGCCATTCACTGCGCCAACTCCAGATATTACTCTATTCAAACCGCATGCTGTAGTTTCTCCCGGCTTAATCGCTACTGAGACCAATGGGCAGCCCATTCAAGCAATAGCCCGCCGTGGTACCGAAGACGAATATGCTGTTGACATACCCACCTTTACTACTCTGTCACCGGCTAAGCCCCCTGTCTCCTCCCCAAATTCCCTTGCGACGATCACAGCTCGCCAGGAAATTGCGACTCTTAGCCTGATTGGTTGTGGTACTGCACCTGGTGGTTTGATCACATGCGCTCAAACTACATTCAGCAATTGCGTGAGTTCAGCAGGGGGCCAGAAATGCAATGGGCAGATTCCTTCGCCTACTTCCACTACCAGTGAGGTTCAATCATTCCTCCGGGTTGTTCCAACCACTCTGCAAAGAGGAGGAGATATCATAACTACAAATCTAATCTCAGGCTTGTTTCGCACGACTCTTCAAGCTCGCGTATCTCCCGCTACTAAGGTACCTAATGCATCTCATGAAGACTTCAATAGTGGTGATAAGTAGGTCTTAGCAACAAAGGTATTGAGTTCTGTGGTGTAAGAGAGGGAAAAATGGATGGTCGAATTATCGTATCCAACTTTATTCCCTAGACTCCTCTCAATTTCCATTCCGGGAGTTTTCCAAGTGATATTAAATGCAAGCCTTGTTACAAAGCAGTTCTGCACCTTAGTTATATGGCAATGTGAGATTTCGGTATGTGTCCATGATACACTTCCTACACTCCGCTCCGGGGCAAACCTTTGCGATCTTCTCAAGCAGTGCTCTTGTAACACTTCTACTCAACTAGGAGTAGAACCTCCTTAACCCCACCTGAATTTCCGATGTTCTTGATTCGTTGCACAGCAGTCCAAATTCACAAATATTTTTTGAGTTTGGCGGGAAGGTTTCCAAAATTGGTATCTCATTTAACAACACACTAATCGTATCAAAATAATACTTCCTTCCCCCAACGTACAGAATCCAAAAATTTATACAAACCGCCACCCCGTCGCTACCGTTCGCTATAAACAACCAGAAAATACCTTCCGACCCCGAAGCATATTCACATGCATGCTCACATCATTCAATCAAAACCATTCCACGTGATCGTTTCCCATTATGTCGCCTCCATTCTCCGCAATCGACATCCTTTTTCCCTATCCTCATGTCTCGTCGCATATCATCATAATCCCAAAACCCCCATACCAATCATACCCATAACTCCCAACAATCCAAGACCAGCACCATCTCGTGCTCCAGCTCCCAGTCCAGCTCCCGAAGAACTCGTTGGAGCAATACTAGAAGCGGTAGGACTACTACTTGACCAAGTAACACTCGATAATGAAGATAGAGGAGTCGCAGTTCCTGGCAACAAAGTTTTCGAGCTCGTTCCAATAGTGCCGATTGTGTTTCCATTACTTGTCTCTACCAATATTGGCGCAGATGTAATAATTGTACCTTTAGCTGAACTTGTCTTTGATACGGTCGCACTAGAACTCGAAACTGATGCGCTGGAGCTCGATGCTTTCGCGCTTGAACTAGGCGCAGTGGTCGCAACAACAGCATACGTAAGTAAAGCTGCAGAATCTGTAATAATTGAAATGGCCCGGAACTGCGACGTAGCCGCAGCGCCAGTAATAGTTGTTGATGCAACTTTGGTAGTACCGGGAATTAGTTCGGTCGCCTGACATGCCATTGATGCGGACCCGGACAATGCGCAACCTAAAGTCATTGTTCTAGAAGACTTTAGTAATGTATACCAGCTTATGGAGCTTATACAACATACGTGGAGCCAGAAAATGTCATTGCATATTGAACAGTGGAAGGCCCTTGAGTTAACGTGTATGGCTGTTGAAAGTTACATGTCGAGGGATTTGAACCCGCTGGACATGCCATTAAATACGTTGTGGCAACATTTGCAGTCTTAAGATTCTATGTTAGTATAATCATGCATCAAAAGCACTGGGAATAGCATACTGAGCCAATCGCATATGCGACAACCGGATAATCACCCGCAAACAACGTTGTTGAAGATTGCGCTCCAACCCCTCGACTACCAACACAAAATACCAAAAAGATATACAAAAAATCAACTGAAAGAAACATATTTCAATCTACATCAATCATACAGCTACTTTCAGCTGCAGATCTTTGTCAACGTAACTTCAATGGAAATGTGATTCTCGTGCATAATGAGGGGAGAAGGAGATGAAAAGAAGTTATACAAAAATGGGGAAGACATCTTTCGAGATAGATGTTGGTGTTTTGGGATTTAAGATTACAGGATTGAATGAATGGAAGGTAATAAGATCCTTCTGTGCCCATGGCGTTAATTATGTCCAAATATAGGGCTGCAGAAATGGGCGCTTACATAAATGAAACTTGGGGTTTGGTGGTAGGATGAAATGTGTTTAAGAGCTGTGATTGGTGAGAAGATGGCCAACATAAAAATATTACATGAGGTAGGACAAGTCCCTACAACTACATTGTTGCGCTGCGCTTGTTTGTGGGACGAAAAGAAATCAAAGAACGGTAGTATTGCGTTCATGGTACCTCATAACTTAGAGCTCCATAGATGATAAGATCAGATAACCATAATGCAAGTACCATCGGCACCTAAGGTCATAAGATCATGAGTAAAGCCTTGGCAGAATCAGTACTTACAGTCGTGAACCGCGATAGACAACTCGTGAACCACTCAGTTCAAGAGAATGAATTATGAAAAATCAAATTTCCATCGGAGACGCCTGGCATGACGCTGTTCACATGACTGTAATGATGACAAAAGTTGCCGGTCGATGACGGGAGATCAATTGGGAAAATGACTTCAAGTCGAGAACCATTGTGTTTACGGATGATGTACATTCCTGATTCCTTCCCTGTTGAGCACATGGGAAATATTCATATAAGAAGATCTTATAGATTGGTTCAATGGGTCTCTAAGCGCAGAAGTCTTCGCCCAATGTCATATCAGTCAAGGTTGACTAAGTGAGCGACGATTATTATACGGGTTTACACTAAAATGGATAGGAAGGCATTGCCGACAACTTAGTACAATGAACTGGCCCGTCCTTTTGATGTATCAAATTTACATGGTAATATTAT